TTGATGTAACTTCCTGTTTGTGTTTGGATGGGTTGATGAACTTCCTGTTTGTGTTTGGATGGGTTGATGAACTTCCTGTTTGTGTTTGGATGGGTTGATGAACTTCCTGTTTGTGTTTGGATGGGTTGATGAACTTCCTGTTTGTGTTTGGTTGTGTTGATGAACTTCCTGTTTGTGTTTGGATGGGTTGATGTAACTTCCTGTTTGTGTTTTTCAGAAGCCTCAGACTGGACTCAGATCTTTCGTCTGTCCACGCTGGAGTCGGTCTCTGAAAGTAAAACTTCATATTTGATGTTTGTTCAGTCACTTTTCATCAGTTCTGTTTGTTTGTTTTTTTAATTTGTTTATTTGTTTATTTGTGTGTTTTAATTTCAGAAGAACCACAGAAGAAGAAACCTTTGGAGTGATGCTGAAGGAGGACAGAGATGAAGCTGATATTTTATAAAAACAATATAAACACATCTGAACAGATTAGAATCCTGTTTCTTATGACAGCTTTAAATTATTCTCAAGAAGTTTTATTCTGATTTGATTTATTTTTGTCACATTTCTCTTACTGTTTGTTTTTAACTCCTGTTCATATTTAATAAAAGTTTTTATACATTTTAAAAATCTCTTTCTTGTGTCACAGCATGGCTTTAAATTATTTTAGTTTGATATTTTATTTTCTTATTATCATTCCAGGCTGAACTGGTTCAAAATGAACTGGTCAGTCTAAGTTGTGGTGTCAGGAGTGATGCTCACCAGGTGCAGTGATTGTCCTGCCTGAGCATCACAGGTTCCTGCAGAACAACACGACAACCATGGAAGTCCTACTGGACCTGCTCCASTAGATTTACAGATGTTAGAGGAGGCTGCATCCAGTGCAGTAAGYCCACACCAGTCTGGTTGGTGGAAGAACCTCTCTGACTCACAGCACACTAGAATCTGACACTGGTCCAGTAACTGCAGGACCTGCAGACAGAACGGTCAAAAATATTATTTTAAACAAAGCTTTGAGACAGAAGACAGGTCTGTCTGGAGTAATGTCTCTATGGTGGACATGTCTRCCAGTCATTTCTACTGGTTTACAGATGGACCCCTCCTGAAGGGGTCAGTAGGTGCAGGGTGATGATTTTACACAACCATAGAGAGAGAGAGTACAGAAACCCACTGGGTGTCCACCAGTGAGTGGCGTCTCTCAAAGACCTTCAGTGTACCCAGAAGMAAATATRCATCCTAACAGACAGWCAAMCTGCTGTTAGAGCTCTCAGAGGGCCACACTTTACATCATTACTGGTTGGGAGTGTGCCGAAGTCTCAACCTACTGGGGAGAGATAACAGTGTTACTGGTWAATGGGTACCAGGACATACTGGCATTTATGGTAACCAGAGAGCTGACCACCTCAGACCCACTTCAAAGGTCCAGGTCCTGTTGTAGGTACCTCAACAACAGTCTGTAGGACTGTCCTACAGGTCTGGATCAGACGTCAACACTCAGTCCTCTGGAGGGAGCTGATGGACTGTAGACTGGTACTGGAACTGATTAATGATCCAAATCTGAGGTTTGTTATTGATCAGTGTTAATGTTCACAGCTCAGGGTGAAAACTGTCAATCATTTWGTTCACATGTGTCACTGATCCACCAGGTGACACATTTACAATGTATGAACCAAATCCAGCTGTGGGATGTCTTAAAGGATCAACATGGTAACATGTGGCTCATGTTGTCTGCTGAACAATGTTCATGGGTTGACTGGGTTATTTTAGTGCTTTAGAATTAGGGGACTCAGTTAGTGCTTTAGGGTTAGTGGACTTAAATATTTCAGTTAGTGCTTTAGGGTTAGTGGACTTAAATATTTCAGTTAGTGCTTTAGGGTTAGTGGACTTAAATATTTCAGTTAGTGCTT